ATACTTTTGTTTGTTTGTTATGCTCGTTATTTTTATTTATAGTACGTAGGCGCCTTTTTTAACACGTCAGTACGACTTCGGGATCATTAAAATTCTAAGAGCAATCCAAATTCTTCGCCTAGAAAAATCTGACAAAGCAAACATCGTTTTGTATCTGTCCGTTTTAATCAAGTCGGAATTTATATTCGAATTCGAGAAAGGTTAAGTGCTTTTCGTTAAACACTGTAAATGGACAACAAAATGTCGAGAAGTGACTTGTACAAAAGTTATTTACATGATTAAAGTTTAATTTAATTATACGAATCTAATTGAAGTCAATGGGTACCTAGTAGCATCAGGTAGGTAGTAATTTTTATTTATTTTAATTCGATTTGCTTGATGAATGGAAATAATAATGAAATAAAAAGGAAATGTCCCGGTGAATCAAAACAAAACGGAAATAAATTAAAAGGACTTCTGAGTTTCTACTCGGGAATGTAACAATGCTTGGTATGGAATCTGGTTCTGGTTTCTGGCCGGTAAGAGGTAAAGGAATTCCCTGGAAGCTACGAAAATCACGCTCTTATAGGCCAAGGAGAAGCACAAACAGGTGGGAGATTGAGAGGGGATTTAATTTCAAAGTATGGGAACATAGGATGGGGACTACAACAGGCGACATCTAACGTAGGAATTTTATCACACATACTACAGGATGTTTCTAAATAAAATTTCTACGTTACCACTTTTATATTTTCTTACAACACCCTGTATAAATGAAACTGGACAACTGTAACTATTGTAACGTTTTGTACTATATGGGATATGTTTGCTAAAATTTAAAAAAAAGATCTCTATAAATAAATAAAAGAGTTTTTTAGATTCCTTCCTACCACGTTGAACCAACAATTGCAACAAGCTGTGTTGAATATAAGAGGGTGGAACCTCCCTTCTTGAAACAAAATGTTGGCTTCTTACGTAAACTCGAAAATTCTTTAGACAAAATAATTAACTGATCAACGGCTAGCTCTATATTAAATAATTTTTTTGTATCCGGCGAAATGAAAAAACCGAGGAAAAAATGGTTCCCTTCCATTTTTACTTGTATTTTGAATTTTGTTTTTTTGATTCCTAATTTCCTTGTTAATACATAATAAATATTCCGACGTGATATAAACACAAATATATCGCTATGTGCCCCACGTTGACCGCCAAATAAAAAAATTGAAAAAAAACAGTTTTGGGGTGGAGAGCTTTGGTTTCAGCGTAAAAAACATTGCTACCATAAATTCATTGTTGTGGTTGAGTACCATGTGTACTTGAATTCAAGTAAACATGTGTACGCAAAAATATGAGAGTGATAGCATGTTCTTGAGCATGGCTACATTTAAATGTGTTGTAACATGACAAACAAAACACGTTTTCTACACGTCGTACATTAAACCGTATACTATTTTGTCTCTTTATCGGGAACACAACATTGGTTAATTTACAAATCTAAAGGATGTTTTCACACATTATAGGTATACGAACTTCTCTTGTTCGTTGTTTCTTACATCTTACAAAAAAGAATAAAACTGTTGCACCGAACATTTATGAAATTTCGTTAAAAAGAAGTATAATTATGACCATTTAAAGTTTTTTTACAAACTGTTTTGTAAAGAAAAAATGAGGCGTTACATTTAGTAAATAGTAAAATATTCATCCTGTTATCTTTTTTTGACACAGAAGCAATAGCAGGAATCTTTCACCATTTTCCAACATGTGGCCCACAGTTCGATTGCGATTTTGGAGAACTGTTCTCTGTTGATTCCATTATCAGCTTTCTCCATCTCCACTCAAATCTATGGGTCAAAATCTAATATTACAGGGCTCACTGTGTAAACACTGTTTGTGGGAAGGATGAATTTTTCTTTCGCTACTAGCAATTAGAAATCTATACGACAGATTAATTCTGATTTACTGTTAGTTAATCTGGGTCTATAGGTACTATGACGAAATGGATAATATTCGATTCGCAGAGCTCCTTTCTGAAATTCGTATAAATGAGACAGACGGGAAAGAGAATAATTTGGCTGATGTTTCTAAATTTATGTAACTCTCCAACCCGTCTCATACCGATGCAACAAGTGAAGCCGTTTTCTTTTAAATTTGAAAGCCGAATAAAATAGTTTCACGTTCTTTTCTAGTCATCGGTGTAAACGAGTTTTTTTTTCAACGTAGGTATCAAGCGGTCATTTAAATTTCAACATCAAATCGAGAAGTGATGACTAATGACTTAACGATACTCAAGTTTGAGGGCGAGATAATGGCGTTTTCAAAAGAATGTTATCCCATTCGAATTCAAATGCGTGTAGTTTGCTGTCCGCCCCTTCCGAAATTAAAAAATCTTACCTCTGCGCTGGATACCATCAGCTATACTTACCTTGAAACTGAACGACGGAATTAATTTGGAATTAATAAGACGACCAAACATTCCTTCTCATATAATATACTTTATTTTTATTGTTCATTCATTGCAACACCACAGACCGTATTGTTTTTACGATAGTTTTTAATAGAAATTGTTGGCCGTGTACCGCAAAACTAATTTGAGAATGTCAAATAAGCGCGAAAAGTTTTGTCTGTATTAAGCGACATAAAAGTTTTATCGCCTTTTTATTGCTAAAGGCGTAGACACGGAAGGTTATTAAAATTTTGGACTCTTTGTGCAAAAGGCATATTAATTTCTGTCCGGTATATTTTTCCGCACCCATGTAAATAAATTATTCCATCGCCTATCCTTAAAAATTCATTTGCCTGCTCGAACTCCAAACTCAAACTAAAGAGTAAAGATGATGCTACTCAGCTATTGTATTATGATGATCTTTGCTGAAATGCTTTTCGAGATTTTGAAACAAAAATTTGATTTTTTCTGTTCTTACGATAAGCCCTAGACTCGTGGATTTTTAGGTGGATGGTGCAAGGCAAGTGGTTCAACCTTTGTGGTTTATAGGCTAGACTCGCGACTTCACAGATCCCAACAGAAAATAAATTAAACAAATATAGCAAACGAGCTCCTGGGTATGGCTATAGCATGCGCAAAACCAAATTTTAAACCTGATGTTAGTTTTGCTTTTATTTAAAGTGTATACATATGTATGAAATTTCATTTAATTGCTTCCATAAATAAGAAAGTTGGCGCTGCACATCCTACACAAAACCAAATTTGGAAAATGGCGCGACATTTGCCTTTATTCCAAGTGGCTATGTATCAAATTTCATTTGAATGCGTCCATAAATAAGGTTGGCACTGCACATGCGCAAAACCAAATTTTGAAACTGGCGTTAAATTTGGTTTTATTCCAAGTGGCTATGTATCAAATTTTATTTAAATGCTTCCATAAATAATAAAGTTGGCACTGCGCATGCGCAAAACAAAATTTTAAAACTTTCTTTTATTCTCAGGCTCAGATTATCAAAACTACAGACAAAATTATCATAGAATGCATTGCGAACCGAATTCAAAAAGAACGAACTAAACGAACGAAAGTATATTGAAAACTGTAGGAGTAGTTAAGTGGTTGGGCGGACGGCCGGATATAGAAAGTAACTGCAGTAGCGCACCCAACTTCGTTGGAAAATGCGCTAAATATGAAAAAATAATATTAGAAAACTAAAGCTAGCATGCCGTGTGCATTATTGAGCTGCCATACTTGACACTGAAAACTAATTCGCATAGATTTCTGAAAAGTTGTATATTCAGCTCAGATAAAATATTTTCAGTTGTGTAGTACTTCCGGTTATGCGCTTCCGCTTCGTTATTTTACATAAGGCCCTTAGTTTATATTCATTTTTTAAACCTACGTAAAATTTGGATAAATTTAAATATAAGTCTTAATATACGTTTTATTGTTAGAAGTTATTTAAATTAGGTTAAGTTTGTTCAAATATGTACCTCAAACCCACTTAGACACTCAATTTTATACTGAAAAACATGGGCGGAATGTAATATGTCTATATCTAAAATTAACTGTTTTCTTACGAAAACCGCGATCGTGCGCATTCTGAAGATGGTTTATAATACATGCTAAATAAGAATTATGTGAATTTTTATATTTTACGTGTAGAAATTTTGCGTAAACTTTCAGAGATTTCCATAGATCTTGTTTCAATTTCAATACCTAAAAATGCGTCCAATATTTGACACAATAGCCAGGTTGCGGACAGCATTTTCCGTTATGTTAGACGGCCATTTTTTCTTATAACATAAGAAATATAAATTTTTGTAGAAATAATTTACGGTATGAGGGCTTTTTGTACGATATATTTATAAATAGCGGAACCAATGAAAATGAAGTTCTTATAATGTGTCACTGCGCAGTACGTAATCACTCATAGAAATAACATTTTCCTGCTAACCTACAATTGTGCAGTGTTTATGTTGGCGGTAGTTCTTTTCTTTTTGTCTAAGAGCATAGTAGGAAGGAAGGCTTTATAAATAAGGATACTTTCAATGTCATCAACTTCTAAAAAAAGGAGTTCATTTTCACCAACTTTGGACATTTTAACACAATGTAAAATAAAAGTGAGGTTAAGACTCCTTCAAACTTATAAGCAAAATTGAACACGCCCAGCACACACCGCAACTTAACTTTGCTATAAAAATGTTTTATACTTATAAACTTATATTATAAGGAAAAATGGCCGTCTAACATAACGGAAAATGCTGTCCGCAACCTGGCTAATACATCGCATGTTTTAGTTATAGATATGTAAAAATTCCGGATGCGGGATGATGCATGTAAATTAGATGTAGAAATGCGTTACTTGGATGGTTTGGTCATCACATAAACAAACGTTTGTAAATAACGTAAAAGTTTATACATTATTTAAATAAACAAACTGGGTGGTAATTTATTAGCACTTATGTTCACATTTGAAAATCACTGGAAATTTGATACAGTTATCGAGAAAGTGAAGTGCAATTAATAGTTCGCTTTAGTGCGTAATTTAAACAACCCTTCAACTCCCCCATTTTAATGGGTGGTCTACGTTCGGGGTTGAGATTAATAATTGTCATTTTTGTTTCAGGGATGCAGCAATATGGAAGGTTATCTTTTTGGGTTATTCACCACATGCTTGATGTTATTGGAGTTTAAAGTGATACACGCCGGTAAGTAATTTTTTTTATTACATTTGTTGGTAGAAACTACCTTGTTTGCTGTAGTGTTGTATTGTTTAGAATTTCGATACTTGTAGGTGTTTTTTTACAGTGTACTTATTTCGGGTATACGAACGTAATTTCTTTGAATTAACTGCGAGATTAAATAGAATATTTTTGAAAAAGATACCAAATAGTTATCTCGTATTCATACACCATTCACATTCACTTGATTACGTTCTATTAGATTTTTTTACGGTTTAACTCCCTTGACTCTGTACGACCAATATATATTTTTTTTAACTGGAATTGATATTTTTTCAAAGGTTTTACCTTTCGGTTACTATTTGAAAATTTCTTCTCAACGACTTTGGACTAATTTGACAAAGCCATTCATGTCAATCCAAAATGATCCTTGAAGATAATTCAACATAAGTACCAAGCCATTTAGTTTGGAATTTACCATACCGAGCAGTTAAAGTATGTCGAAAAATCAAGTAAATTAAAAAAAAAACTTGAATCAAGGAAATATGTTAATGGGCTCCCGTTACAATTGAAAGAAAATGGATGATTCAGTTCAAAAACTAGATGGGACCCCTGCGAAACAATAAGGTTTCAAAAGTTCTAGTACCACTAGAGCGGTACTTATAATGGAAAAAAGTGTGTTAGTGTAGGATTTTTAGAGATCAGTTTTTCTATTGTTTGTGTTAATGTAAAACCAAAGAAGTTTCCATAAAACAGTCCATATACTCTCAAAAGCAATCGAACCGAGCACTATAAGCACTTTCCAGGCCATTTTCATTTTTAGACCTTTTTAGGTTCCTACTGAGTTTTGTAGATTTTTCAAATGCTTTTTTGAGCATTTAGGTCCTTTTGCAAGACTATGGGAATTTGTGTTCTTTCCAGGGCACTTTACAGAGTTCTGGAGATAATACTCTCGAAAACGCCTAAGCTTCTTAAGTGAATTTAAGAAATTGCAAAATTTTTTAAATCCTTTCCAGACAAATTCCAGCACATTCAGCGGCTTACCAGGAGAATCTAGGGATTTCCAGACCCGTTTAGATATCTGAGCTTTATAGCACTCTTATACATTTTTAGATTTTTTTAGACTACAAACCTTTCTAGAGCTGCTTAGATCCCTTCTAGATCGTTATAGGCTCTGTTCAGAGGCCTCTATAGCACAGTCTGCAAAGGAAAGAAAGAAAATTCTTTGAATTTTTTATAATTTCAAAAAAAGCCAATGGAACCCTCAAAAGTTCGTAAGGTAGAGAAGTGAGGCGGCGCTGGTGTAGTTGCCGAACACGAATCTATATTCTCGTGTTGGGTTAAATGATGCTTCACGAAGATAATCCGTGCGCTTTTTACCATTGTGAGCAAATCTTCAAAAGTTTCTAATGCAGTGAGGCAATGCAGCGCACCCGCCGAAGTTATGTTTTGCCGTTGAGTCAAATGTTGGCATCAATACTTAAATATTTCAAGAAAAGAATTTATCGAAGCTAAGAAAAACCTTGAGATAATATAGAATTCGGAAAAATATAGGTGGTCTATTTAATTGCTCGCAGCTTAACACGAATTTTCTAATACAAATAAAACACACTACGATAATTCACAGGTGACCGATTTAACTTTTTCTGACCGCGTCAGTCTAATTTTGTTGGGCTTCACCACGCGAATTCTTCTCCGGCTTGATGCTAATTTTTCTCGCGGCTCGATGCGAATTGCCTCGTAGCTTAAGCGAAATTGTCTGACGGTTCTCTGTCAACTCATTTTCACTACTTTTTTGATGACACCCATCCCGTGCCGTTTTCCAATTAATAACATTACTTTACATTTTTCGTTCATTTAGAATGCTTACCACTCCTAAATTTACAAAATGTGGACCAATTTCCTTCAAAGTTAGTAAAACTCACGCTACGCAGCAAGCTTGATAACGACGGGAGTGACCTTTGCATAATCATTCCGTAATCTAATCTCGTCATGCACCACGACTTTCCGGCGCCTTAACCTTTCACACGCGTTTAAACAGTCAAGACCGTATTTTTGACAACTTGCCCCATACAAAATCGAAAAATGTAAGTAAAATTGGAATCAAATAAAATCCGTTAATGACCTCCCATTACAACGGTCGCCCTTCTGAACTGTCACTGTGTTGCTTGTGCATGGCGGTTTCCGAACCTCGAAACAATGGCAACATCGAAGTATCTGAGATATGAAATAAAGTTCCATTCATTTCATTGTTATTGTAGTATTATTGGTATTGGTGTACGTTGGAGTTTAAGCTGTAGCTAACGATCTGAACTGTCAAATTTCCAGTATCTGCTTTTATTAATTTCAACATACTAGCACAATCTCTTAACTGTTTTCAGTTCGCTGCTAAGAATTTTTTGCAATCTTTCAGATCGAGGTCGAGTGTACATGGTGACAAGTCCAGAATCAGTGGTGATGCCTATAAATGACGAGACAGAGCTTACCTGCGAAATGAATTTGTCACCAGACAAATTTCAATGGAAGCACTACCCTTTGAATATTGAAGATGCTTTTAATCCAAAAGCGTCCATAATATTAGGGTCTGCTCACTATCTCGACCTTCCTGCGACCATGTTTACCAGCGACAAGAAAGTATCCACCTTAAAAATTAAGGTAAGCGCGCACTCATTTAAATTTGAATTTAATGCGTTTTTTGTAGTCGAGCAGTAAAGCGGTAGCCGGCGATTACCAATGTTTAGCACACTACGGCGCTTCGGTAGTGGCGTCGATTCCTGGTAGAATCACGATTACAACGATGGGGAAATTTTCGCCGCAAAGCAACGTACAGGTTAATGTCGTCGCCGGAAATACGTTACTGTGGCGATGCGACTTTTCTCAGTCGAATCCATCTGCCTATATAGATTACTATAAGGATGGCCTTTACGTTATACCAAAAGTTGCAGTTCGCACACAGTCATTAATTATTCCCAATTTAAGTACGTCTGATTCTGGAAAGTACGATTGTGCCGCCACGAATCCCATTCAGCAAAACTCTGTGCAGGCCGATTTTCATTTAAATCTCAAAATTGTTGGAAATGGCCCCTGGCAGTCGCCACAATTTTTGATACCTGCAAAAAAAGTGTACATAGTGAATGCAGGTAATTGAATCATCCACTGACAACAGTGTGTGACGGAATCGTTTTTAGGTGAAACCGTCTTCATGGAGTGTTCGGCTGTGGGTAACCCCGTACCGAAAGTGTTTTGGTTCAAGCGAAATGGAGAATTACCATCAAACAGAAGTCAACTAATGCCAGGTGGTTTACAAATATCAAATGCAAAATCTACTGACGATGGAGTGTACATTTGCAACCACACTAATTCCTTAGGCACAATATCGCATCATATCACGTTAGTTTACAACGAAGCGCCTACCATAGAAGAAGGTCCCACGAACACCGACATTAAAGAGGGTGAGAATCTTGATCTGGAGTGCGAAGTGAAAGGTACACCTGAGCCGCAAATTAGCTGGTTTCTAAACGGCGACACTGTGATAAACGATACGCACATCGAAGCGATCGGGAACCGAATTTACTTTCGTCGCGTCGAGAAAAAGCACGCCGGTACACTGCAGTGCTTCGCCACGAATACTATTGGCACAATTTACAGCAGCTTTAATGTGAAAGTGATCCCCAAACAAATTTCGAGCATTGACGCGTTCGAAGAGTACCTAACTGCCCAACCCACTCTACCCGTTCACAAAAGACGGAAACACCACAAACCCAAAAAGAATAGAGGCCAAAAGGGGACGACCGAAATGATCCCGCCTTCGCGTCCGATGGTGACAAGGATAAACGACGAGTCGGTTATGGTTAGGTGGACAGTGCCCGAAAACAACGGTCTCCCGATACAGTTCTTCAAAGTGCAATATAGGGAACTAGGTCCCATAAACCATAACGGTACACATAAGAGTTCAAAGTGGAAAACCACAAACGCCGATATTCCACCTCATATTCGAAGTTACGAGGTGAATAATTTAAACCCCGATCACGCCTATCGATTTCGGATAGCAGCTGTATATAGTAACAACGATAATAAATTAGGACCAAATTCTGTTAAATTTCACCTGAACCGTGCTGATTTCTCTCAGCGCAATCCGTTACCAGTTCCTAGGCTAATCCACACGGAAATGCTTAATGAGACTGCCATCAGAATACATTGGGAGGTAACGGTTTGCTATCGGTCACCTTTTGGGAGCTATCAATCTTTTTTTTTAGTATGTGCCAATAGCAAATTTGACCATCGAAGGCTTTTTTGTCCATTACGTACCTGCCGACAGTGCGATGGATTATATGAAGGCTACGGTCGAAGGATCGGAAATGACATCCTACGTTATACAACACCTACAACCTGGGACAATGTATGATATTAAGATACAGAGTTTCACGACAAAGTCGGCGAGCGAATGTAGTCCCATCATGAAGCAAAAGACTGCATGTATGTATTATTTTAATAAGTCTCCTGTTGCAAAGAGTACTGTAAGGTTAGCTTAATCAGTACCGGTATCATTCCACCATATTATCAGTTTGATCATTATGGCGAGTATCCTGTGGGTCATACTAATTTCCAATTATTTTGGAACAGTGCGCTATAATCCTCCAAAGACTTTGTGGTTATATCATTTATTTTTTTCTGAGCAGTTGACCCAATTTGACCCATGGAGGATACTATAATAGTAGAGACTCCTAAAAGCTCTTGTCTTCATTGTTGGAGAGAATGTTGACTTATTACCCCTTCTTAAGGGGTTAGATTCTATTACCATCAATGGTTACTTTCGTATATGTGACAATTTTTAATAATTATTTTATGTAAAGGCGTCTAACAATCGGTGAATTTCATTCGAATCGAAAGCCAAAATTCTGCTTTTTTTCTAAAACACTAGCACTGGCTCTATTATGATTCACATTGTTGAAAGCAATCGGAAAATAAGACTTCGAAACACCGGCTGACTGCCGGAAAAATGCGTATTTGAAATTTACAAGCAACGGATTGTTAAGTCAAAAGACTCGAGACTGCCCCCCCACATCGGCATAAACCCCACAACTTTTGCGTTTAGAGTTTTTTCTATCTCTTATAATAAACGGAATAACCCTGCACACCTAATAAAAAATTTTTGTGATCTGGATTACTGTAAAATTCAGATTCCTTAAGTTCTGATGATTGAGTCACCAAGAAGAACTTAGGTTCTATGGTAGTGTTTTCCTCCCATCAGGGTCGGAACTTACCTTACCCACTAAACCCACACCCTTGTCAAGCATAGGTATACCTATGTCAGGTGAGAACCGATTTTGTACATTACTTCCAATGGCATGGCCCATCATACTCTTTTTTTTTCTTTCGCATGCCTTCCTCGATCATGGACATGGCTACAATTTTGGCGGACCAAGATTGTGGGGGGGGGGGGGAATTCTCCTTCCCACAATATTTTTATCTTTAATCGTGATTCTTCTGATGAAGCTATCGAAGTTAACTGTTTTATTTAGTGAATCACATACTTCACCTATATCCGTATTTACAGTGTCAATTACAAGATATATAAAAAAAAATCTCATGATTACACTTAGCAGACCGCATATCGAACTGGCAATAGTGCGAAGTGTCTCAGATCATTTTTGCCTTTTAGCATAAGTGCGAGATCACCTCATATGGTGCGGTTTGTTCTTCCGGACCTAGTGTATTCTGTAACATATTGGTTTTTTTATATTTCTATGTGCAATGGTAAAAGATCACTAAAACACCCACAAGCGCCTGTCCAGTTGGGTCAATTAAACACAGATACTAACAAAATCTATTAAGAGAAATCATTACTTCCCCAAAACGAAAATCTCAATATTAATCTGAGAAATTCAGCAGGCTTAAAAGTCCAAAGAAAGAATTAACATAATTTAACACGAACATGTTAACATTCACTTTTATAACGAACACTTAATTCTTAAATTTCATGTATCACTCAATTAACTTGCTTTTATAACAAGAACTTTACGATTATAAAGACTGTCTTTTCAATAATACGCTCAAATAATAGCAAATCTCTCAATCACCAAAACACTAAGCGGCTATTTCAGCGCACACAAAAAAAAAACAAAAAAACAGCGATTAACGTCCACCCCCAAACACGCATCTATTAATGTCCGTTTCTTTTATTTAAAACAAATTCTTTTTCCGTTCCACTTCCAATTGCGCCTTCGAATAAATTAAACACCTGTTTTTTCTTATCGGCGAAAAAACATCTGCGATAACATCTTGAAAGTAATTAGTCCACGCAGCGATAACGCTCTTATCGCAATTGCCGGAGATAACACTGCACTGAATTCCTTAATATTCTCCTGCCTCTTGAAATTCGATGTTTTCCTCAGAAGAAAATTCCATTCTCTCGTATTTTTCTCTCTTCAGCATAAATAGGCGTCATTCTCATTGATATGATATTTTATCTAGTTATCATTTGATAGTCATTTATCGTTATTGTCAAAGTTAATTTAATTGTCTAGTTGATTTCTTTAAGCTAATAAAAGCCATATAACCATTACGCATCTGCAACGTAATGCAGTCCTCGGTGCCACCAGCATCTATTTTTACTAATTTGTCACCTAACATCAGACCTATCGCCGTAAGGAGTCGTCGATACAGTATACAAGACGAAGAATTTATCAAGCAAGAAATATCAAAATTACTGGAAGACGGTGTAATAGAACCAAGCATTTCTCCCTGGAGAGCACAAGTCCTAGTAGCGGGAGGTGGCGCTCATCGAAAACGTCTAGTAATAGACTACTCTATGACTATTAACAAGTTTACAGAATTGGATGCATTCCCATTACCAAACATGGAAACGGTCGTCTTAAAAGTATCGAAATACAAAATCTTCAGTCAGATCGACTTAAAAAGCGCATATCATCAAATGACCATTTTAGATAAAGAGAAAGTCTACACTGCTTTTGAAGCCTGCGGACAACTTTACCAGTTTACAAGAATTCCATTCGGTGTTACCAATGGTGTAGCAGCGTTTCAAAGGACTCTAGACTTCATCATAACCAGAGAGAAACTAGAAGGTACAGTTGTATACTTAGATGACGTGACAGTATGTGGTAAAGATGAGTTAGAACATGAACGTAATCTAAAAAAGTTTATGGATGCGGCGAGAAAATATAACTTAACACTAAATGAAAGAAAATGTGTTTTTAAGAAAACAAAAATCGATCTACTTGGCTATACTGTCGAAAATAACACAATCAAACCAGACGCTGAGAGATTGAAACCCCTTTTAGAACTTCCAGCTCCCATTAAAAACTCAGAACTCAAACGCGCTTTGGGAATGTTCGCCCACTATGCAAAATGGGTTGAAAGATTTTCGGAGAAGATAAAACCTTTAACTTGTGTTTCAAGTTTTCCTTTAACACCTGATGCTCTAAAATGCTTCCAAGAGATTAAATCAGACATAAAGAAAGCAATAGATGATGATGAAACTTTCACTGTTGAAACTGACGCCTCGGATTTTGCTATAGCCGCTACGCTTACGCAAAAGGGTCGTCCAGTCGCTTTCTTCTCTCGAACGCTTTCCAATCCAGAATGTCGACATTCATCAATAGAGAAGGAAGCTTGTGCAATTGTTGAAAGTCTTAAGAAATGGAGACATTTTCTGATTGGGAAACACTTTCTTTTAATTACGGATCAAAAATCAGTAACGTACATGTTGAATCAAAATCACAATAGCAAGATTAAAAATGAGAAGATAATGCGCTGGAGGCTAGAGCTATCCTGCTACAAATATGACATTATATATAGACCAGGTTCGGAAAACACAACAGCAGACGCTCTGTCACGAGTTTGTGCGTACATGAACACCGACAAATTAAAACAGCTTCATAATGCGCTTTGCCATCCTGGAGTAAGTAGAATGTTCCATTGGATACGCTCTAAAAACCTACCGTATATAGCAAATGATGTAAAAGAGATGATTGCATTGTGTCCAACGTGCGCTGAAATTAAGCCAAGATTTTTGAAAGCAAAAGGTCAACTAATTAAGGCTACGTCTCCATTCGAACGCCTTAATATTGATTTTAAAGGTCCTCTCCCTTCTAATTCTTCAAACAAATATATTTTAACGATTATCGATGAATATAGCAAATTTCCCTTCGCTTACCCATGCAAAGATATGACCTCATCCACAGTCATTAAATGCCTGAAAGACCTGTTTCTCACTTTTGGCCAGCCTCTTTACATACACAGCGACAGATAACCTCATTCATGTCTGAAGAATTTAAAAATTTCCTAAAAAACTCAAACATTGCATCCTCAAGAACGACGCCATACAATCCACAGGGTAATGGTCAAGTGGAACGTTTGAACGGAACACTTTGGCGTACTATTCAGCTCAGTCTACGTTCAAAGAGTTTGTCAATTGGAAACTGGGAGGAAGTCCTTAAAGATGCCCTTCATTGTATCCGATCACTTCTTTGTACATCGATTAATGCTACGCCACATGAAAAACTATTCACGTACCCTCGAAGATCACCAAACGGGGATTCGCTACCATCATGGCTTTCAACGCCTGGACCTGTTCTAGTAAAAAAGAATGTCCGTCACTCAAAGACTGATCCCGTAGTAGAAGAAGCTGAACTTATCGAGAGTAATCCTTACTACTCTTTAATTAGAAGAGCTAATGGAGAAATGTCAACCGTGACAAATCGTCATTTAGCGCCCTTCCCAAACAACGTTGACGAGGGTGAAGATGACGTTAGTCTTGAAACTTCAGAGACTGAGGCCTCACAAGAATTACAAACTTCTGATGGATCTTCGACGGAACAAGAGGTTAGAAGGTCTACTCGAATTAGAAGGCCACCCTCGCGGTTTCAAAACTTTGTTGTAGAAAGTGGAATTGAAAATTCTACACGGGCAGAAAATTCTGCAGAAGAAGAAAATTCTACAGGGGAAGAATGATATGATATTTTATCTAGTTATCATTTGATAGTCATTTATCGTTATTGTCAAAGTTAATTTAATTGTCTAGTTGATTTCTTTAAGCTAATAAAAGCCATATTTCCAGTGGTTACAAATATTATATCACTCATTTTCTTCTGTTATCTTCACCTAATCTTGTTCTTAAAATAGACATCTTTCTCTTTTTGTCTGTTAGTATTATAGTAGCTGTGGTTAATAATGCAATTGATTTCAGTTGCCGTCAAGAAACCTACCGTGAAGGATACATCTCCAACAGTTGTAGCAACAACTGTCGAACCGTCACCGTCATCTCAATCGACTGGCGACACACAAATGTATATATTCATAGGGTCTGGCGTTTTAAGCGTTGCACTATTGCTTAGTGTTATTGTATTAGTCATAATATTTAAAAAAAGAAAGCAGAAGAAAGCAAATAATTCACCAGGTATGCAGCGAGATGACCACATTCAATAAATCATTTAATGATCCATTTCAGATTCCAGTCGAGGTGATAAAGAGGACGGTGGCCATCACATACAAGCAGACTCTAATGATTACGTTGTGAGTCCCAAAACTGTTAGCCGTGTAAAAAATGGCAATGTTACAACAAATAATCGTATAACAATAACCCCTAACCCCTTAGCCGACGCTGACAACAAGGTGAGGTAGATATTCTTTCTCTCTTCTTTTTAGAATGTAGGAAATCTGCGATCATTTCTGTACAAACCCTGTAGGTATTTAAATAAAAAAATTCGTGACGTACAAGTGTTTTTTTATTATTTTCGTAGCTTCGCACTATTTCGTATGTACATTTTCAAGCTTTTGCGAAAAGCAAACTCACTTTGCTTTAACTAACGACTAATGTGCTGATACAGTTTGCTTATTGTTGTATTTTTTTATCTACTCACAACTAAAACTAGGTTAATTTCATCTTGTTTCCAGAAATTTCTAGCTCGGATTTTTTCCAGAATCAGAACATGATCGAAATGTCATGTTTGTCATCACAGAATAACAACTGTTCACAACCCTCCGCAAGTACGCAAGAATCACATTCTGGTGATTCGCAATCGAACCCTAAGCACACCGATCCAGATAAAGATAAAAGTAAAAGAAATATGTATAAGGTTGACACGTCTCAATCTGGAGAAAATTACGTATAACGGAATTGTACATTAGTAATATTAGTAAATGATCTTGCCGTAAATTGCTGTAAATATTTGTACGTGAGTTTTGTATATATTTAATTTAATATATTCGCTTATTTCTAATGCGTAAATTATGTTGATCGATCCAATGAGATCGTTAACATGTGGCAGCTGTAATACGATTTACTTATAATTATTTATTAATAATCTGAAATTTCTTTAAAAGACATTTGTAAAGTTCCTAACAATTTGCTATCACAGTAATTTATTGTATTTATTATTATTGTAGTAAGATAGACCAAACATGTTAATACTTGCTTTTAACAGCAGTAACATATTAATGAAGGTTAAGGAGGTGACGGATAATCGAATTTTAGTTCATAATAGTGTTGCAGGAATTTCAAATTGTATCAATTACATTTATTCAACACTGTAAATTGTTACGCCATAATTTTAAGTATAATCGACAATTTACGTTACTGTTTAATTTAACATAGGTACACATGGTTGTGTTGCGTACAAGATGATTTTTTAGAATTTTTATTTACAATTTGTATATAATGATGCGATGTATATATTTTCATAACAGCAGTAGTGTTTGAAAATATGAGACCAGTACAACTCTTATTGCCATAGAACTTGCCATGACTCACATTTTCGAACAACTGAAATAAATGACTAATAAACATTGATTAATTCTTTCTTTCTTAATACAAAGGTGTAAAAGGAAAGGTAAGGTAAGTTACATCCGGTAGGATGAATTTTTGTCCTAGTACCAAGATACCTACTAAGGATGCGTTTGCATTTGATCATATCATTGGCTCTGATTATTCACAGAGCTCACGTAATCTAGTTCATCTTTTTGACAATACAATTGGCGATCCTATTTAAATTTAATCCTTACAAGCGCTTCTTTTGGAATGGCTTTCTTCATAGGCGCTTGAAAGTCTTAACAAACATTTTTTGGAACAAAGAATTGGGTCCTATACTGATGAATTAAAAAATATTGAAATTATTAGAATCTCTGTTTACATTTTTGAGTGGTTGTGACAAGTTGAAATTTGCTGTTTTTGACCCTGCCGGATTTAACCTCCACTAAACTGCCATACAGTAATCAAGGCGTCTACCATAACGGTTCACGTCCGTCTCTTCTATTTAATGACTCGGCCCTTCTACGTGTTCCCCGTCTTATCAACATGTGCTTATCTTGAAATTAATTAGCTTTACACAGCGATAACGAACTCTTATCGCACCGACCGAAGATAAACTTTTACAATATAACTACCGGCAAATATTTCGAATCTAATAAACTTATTCTTTTAACACGTAATACAACTTTACAATTACAAATCAAAATAAACCAATTATTTATACAAAAATCAAGCATCATTAAGTAAATAATTCTAAATAAAATCAACATTGACTTCAAATTCACATGATATGATAGAAATTCATGTTTAATCTAAATTATCATCCACATTTGAGCTAGGTACAGAACAAATTCAAATTCACATCCACCAGAGTGACCTATCGTTATAAAAGATACTGATGCAAAAGAACACGTCCGCATGACATAGTTTACACAACGATTCTCTGTTTCCCAAAAACAATGTATAAATTCAATAATAATTAATTGGAGACGTGTTTGAAAAAACGCTTGGACGCCTCGATTCTAATTTTTTAATGTGTTTTTTACGGTAAATTCATGTATACCCCAAACATAAATTACGATCATTAACTTTTTTCAAATGAAAACATACAATTCTAGGTACGTTAGATGTACCTACCTGTAGAGTGGTTCAAATTCGTTGCTCACCATTAGAATGTTGGCCCTTTTTGTGACTAAAAAAACACATTTGAAATTTTTGAGAAATCTTTGAAAACGACTGAGATATCCCCGAAAAACTGAAAACGTTTTCATTTTCCCTAGCTTAAACGCTCGGAAGTGGACGGCTCCTGTTAGCACTTTCTATGGGCTCTTTTTCGGAGAATCTGAATCTGTTATTAAAATTTACTACTTTCTTATGGCCTATGGATTGGACTTTTACGGAATGAGATAGAAGACAAAATCCAATATATGGTGTCAATAAGAAATTAGACAGTAGTGTAGCAGCATGTAGGCCAAATTTGATCGTAGGGAAGTAGAAAATAACTGATTTCGCCGTTTCGATGTATTTTTTTGAGATCAATTCCATGTTGGAAACCAAACCGGCCTTCAGTCTTTTGTTTTTGAGTTATGAGCAAAACTATATAAAAGCCTATAATTTCTTTGTTTATTAAGTTTTCGGAAATGTGTTTATATTACAAATTATTGCTGCATAGTCTACTGTTTTCAAAATCAGTATACAGGGTCTTCTACAATAAAGTCATCGGACGTAACCTCATTTTTTTAAATAGAACATCCTGTACATTTTAATCTAAACAAGACAGCATATTCAACTTTATTTTCAAAACTATAGCACACCAGGGTATCGATTCCCGAAGTTAGTCGATATGCTCCGTGATGTGCATGTGATGTGACCGGCTGCCATGACGTCATGATCGTATACGATAGGGATAAGTTCAAGTTTAGCTGCATTCCCGAATCGCGAACAAACTGTATGCGCTAACCAATCACAGACAAGAATTGAACTGTCATTTGTCAGTTTTGTATTTTGTTTCGTTTTTGCATTAAGGATACTGTTATTAATAACCAGAAAATCCTCGAACAATTCCATGTTTTATTTCACAGAAAATATGTGAATTTATAGGTTAGGGCACTGAATAACCTCTATAGCAAAACAGCTGCAAGATCCGTCCTATAGCTGGAACTGCGCATGACTTTCACGCAACGAGTGGTCTAGACCAGTCGTTGCGTTCGATCAACTTTTCGCTCGATGTGGTAGGTTCGAGAATGCAGTGACATTCACGTTCACATCAAGGTCAGTCGATGTGAACAAAGCAAAGCACATCTTCGGGAATCGACGCCCATGGGATGATAAAGTTAAACGTTCAAATTATATAAAAATTACACAATATTTCACAAAAAGTTTGATTTTTTTAAAAATTTCTTAAAAAACTTCTTTTTAGCTTTTTTGAATTGAATCCATATAAAAAATGAGGATACCTAATTCCGATAAATTTGTTTCGTGACTTCGTATACTTATTTTAGAAAACGGCAGATTATGCAACAATCATTAGATAGAAACTTTTGCAATTAACATTCCATAACTTAGAAAAAGGAGAGGCTTATTTATATAAAAATCTAAAAATTCAACTGTAGTGTACTTAATCCCCAAGTTCTACGCTAACTTCACACTACAAGAACACGGAAATAAAGTCAACCCGGCAACGTTTAAAATGGCCGCCCGAATGAAGATTCCCTCCAAAACCATATATATAATGTCCAAAACTAAACAAGATCCCGCTTAAATTTGAAATGTGGCACGTGATAAAACATCTAAAGTATGGCCCTCTTACGTTAGTTGTAAACAACGCTTTGACCTGAAGCACAGTAGGGAAAGGAACGTAAAATAAAACACTGAAGTTGTGAAAAGTTTGTTTAATAATGATCGTAATTATTTCTCACCTAGAAATTGCATGGTTGCCAACTCTCAAAAATGTATGTATCACAACTTTTGCCCAAAAGTAAAACAAAAGACAGTAGGCCAGTTTGGTTCGAGTTTATCTCAAAATGTTTTCAAAATTTTATATGATCAGAAGGAAGCTTGTTAAAAAAACGTACGGAATACAGCGTCGGTAGCTGCAACAGTGGCAGTGTATGTCCGATTCGATTAATTAAGAAAGTGTTTTAGGTTGAAAAATTGAGTTTAATACTTTGTTTTCTATTATTAAAAAAGTACGAGCAGAGCCACCTAACTTTCAAGTCGAAATGACGGACGTTCCGCGGCACGTGAATCTCAATATCCATAAATAAAACACCCTCGATATCAGTAGGCTAGCTAGAACCGGGGGGCACGGTAGGCCCTATGCTGTGTACTAAGACGGTACCCACTTCCGACGCCCCGTTCACCCCAAATTCGCTTTCGAAGTTTTCACTCCATCATCAGTTTGATCTTGTCGAAGGCTACCACATTTCCTTTTTCGGTGCATACTTATATTACACCCACATTTTGGTGAATTTCGCTAAAAACCTTCCACAAGATAGTACTTAATTTTTGGGGCACTTCTCATTACTCGAGCTTCTATTGGCGACACGAGAAAGAGAGACAGCGATTCGAGATTTACGAAACGTTAAACCGCGTGACAAAATTCGCAACGGAAGGTAAAAGGCGCCCGAAAGTTGGCTACCTCTCGGAGACGCGCGCGCGCGCCTTGAAAGAGGTTGTTAATTTCGCCCCTAGGACAAAAAACAAAATTCCGCCACGCAGGAGTGCGCGTTTACAACATTTTTCCGACGACACCAATTTGAAAAGAATCGGACCAAGACCAAAACTGTAGTAGAAGATAGGAAAAAACTGAAAAACCTTCACGTTAGTAAACTACGCTCGAGGATGACGCCCAGATGTCGCCAACCCCACATCATGTAGCCCTATCCCTAAGATTGACAAATTACACGGCCTTGTAGATCCACGTACACCCGTTGTCTTTATACAAGAGTTCTTATACGCGCCCAGCCAGCCAGCAAAAGTGAGATTAAAAGCTACTTTTTACAAATAAATTTGCAAAAATGTTCCACTTCCAGTTCTTTCCAAGGTGGTGCTAAGGGAGAGTATTATTATGACCAGTATTGTGACTCATTTTGTGCCCCTTATTACTACCTATACATATACCTAAGAGGCATGAGAAAACGAAAGTGTTCTGCCCGTTTACTGTTACGCCTATCTATGTTAAATACCTAATGTTAATATGGAGGATCTTAAAGATGCGGATATGCTCAGCAAACTTGATCTTCAAGTGAAATATTGTTGTCTGTCTACCATGATATTTCCAACAGTACAATTTGGTTACGCAGTAGGACAATTTATACATCCTACGATAAATCACGCGGGCTTGTGGGAAATTACGGGAATAGTTAGTTCCATTTTTTTTTTGAGAATATATTAATACTTAGACTGGCCACGGTAATTTGGTTTCTCCATAACTACACCTTTCGGTATAAACTTTCTCCTACTATGAAATTGCTTTCAATTTTACGAAATTAGGTATTATTTATACACGACGCGTGTATGCCTCTATTATTCATCCTGCTATTATTAAATAAACAAAATATATACACAACCAATAATTTGATTAATAAGGAAAAGTGGAACGCGGTGGTTGACTAGAATTAATACCGGGTGGCGTACGCAGTGGGGGGCCATCAAAACTTACGGTACCATCATATCGCGACTTCTCATAGTGGCAGTGTACAAGAAAGTTTGTTAAGTGAATGCTGCAGTTGCGACAATTCATTTTGAACAACGTGCATGCACGAAATGGATACCTGATCACTTACGGAATTTTAAAGATTTTTCAAAGTGAAGGATTTCAAAACAAATTGAAATGGTGAGATTACATCAATTATTCTGATTTTAGAATTAAAGAATAATCATCCAGACAGTTTTAAGTTCACACTGTACAAATTTAACGGTTTTGCGAGACACTTACATTTTAACGATTCATTTGTGAATCAATTATAGCCATTCGAGCGGATTTAGAACTTTTTACGGTTTTGCGAAGGAAACACTATATTTATGTAGGACATGATTGAATTAATTCGAACGAAATTAGAGATAGTTAATTAATTGGGCCCAAATCGGTGTCATTTTCAGATATCACCGCAAAAATTTAATAACGCTCGGCATCAAATTATAAGCAAAATTGGGTAGTTATAAACCGATTAAATTTCGATATTTAACCTTAACAATATTACGCTTATGGGCAATTTGCTAATTTGCAAATAATTATTCAATTTTTTCGGAACACCTTGAGCATTTTTGCCTCAATTGGAGTTTCTTCGGTCATTTTGAAATTGGGTGTGTAGTAGAAGTTTTACCGAGTTCCAAATTGTGCAAATAATCAATCGTATATAATTAAAATTGGATCATGATTTAAGAAATTAATGTCCAAAAAAATGGCAACGGTATTTATGATCGTTGTTATCATTGTTACAATGGCGTAACTTTACCGTAAAATGGGAGTCTAATGGATTGTCCGAGGAATTTTCCCTCCTATATTCAGAACATGTCACTTTAAACGACAGCAAAAGACTTCCGTTGCGTGTTACTAATTGCGTTATGTAACCTTACATGCTTTGGTAGGGAAATCCTGCAACGAGGAACTCATATTTTATATCCGCTCCAATGCTATGTGCAAGACATCCTGCATATTATGGGGTCAATAGCTATGTTGGTTGGCGTATTTATTCATTACCGGATAGTAAAATATTGTAGATATTATTAAATGGAAGATTCTTAATTCTGCCCGAGTTACCAAAAAAGTAGGATGTGGTTTTCGCGAGATTGTTTAGGCATCATTTAGCTACTTTTTCATTAAAAAAAATCGAACCAATGCATTTAATTTTTTTGAGAAAATTAACCATTTCTGTCGGAATGTCGAAAACTTCAAATATTATAATATTTGTAGCTGAAGAATAGGTCTTTTGAACTAACCCGAGTTTGTTAAAATCGGCTCAGTCGTTTCGAAGACACAGGGTGTTTTTTGCGGAAACCTTTGAATACCCCTACCACTTCATTTTTAGAGATACAGGAAAAATTGTCAAACCAAAATTGTTTAGATTATCGTCAACTTCAAAGACCGGACATTTTTTTTGTTAGGTTAATATAGCGGAATTCACATAAACATCACTTTTTTAGATTCCAGTAAAGTCACTAAATATAGAAAGTACCGCAATCCATTGGGCTCGTGTGTTAGAGAGAGAACGCATGATTTTTGCCCAAAAATGGCGGAAGTTACCAGATTCTAGTAACTTTAATGTTAGGGATTGTTCCACCTGTTTGGAGATATCTGTATATATTTTTATAAAACATGACAGTACTATGAAGTTAGGTTATAAAAAATGACAGCTATTCAGATTTTATTTGTCAATTTTTTCAAGTTGGCAGCAAATTTGCCCAAAAATGGCGGATGATTGCGGTACTTTCTATATCTAGTGACTTTAGATTCCAGATTGCAGTTACGCCCCCAGCGGCCATTTCAGACACTTAAAAAATATTTTCCAGGTTTTTCTCGTGGCCGTTTTAGTCATACATTTTTTACCGCAAGCCTCTACGATGGACACGTTCCCAGATACAGTACCTCGCATTCTTATTTGGCCACCCTGTACACATTCAGAAAGATTTTGTAAAAATTCTTCAGGAATATGTAAAAAATTTCAGTTCTTAAGGATTCTCTTATGGTTTTCTGGAGATTCTTCAGATATTTCTCAAGAAACTAGTCAAACATATTTATGGTTTCCTAACAGATTTATTAAAGTCTCCTTGCAGATTCCTATATCTCCTAGGGATTTGTTAAAATTTCAAAAATGTTAGAACATACCGATACTACTGCAATTTTCGCCTTTTCATTTTTTCCGCATAGAATCTGCAATAAGTCTACAGGGCAGGCTGAGGCTGAAGATACTATGCACACCCAGTTCTTCCACTACTCTATTACACCAATTTCATGCTCGATTCTGTATTCGAAATTGCAACGTTTTGGGTCGTTGCCGAGTTTTACACCATTAGACCAAGCTTATGATAAACTAAGTAGCATTCTGGCTAAAGACAAGAATGGCTAAGAATCTTCTAGAAAAGGTACTGTTTCAGTGTGGATTTTTGGGATTTACTCAATTGCATCTCTAACATTTTTAAAAATTTTAATTATCGCAAAAATTTTAAAGAGATTTGTAAGGGTCTCGAGAGGATCTGTGAAAATGTAGCATTCCCAAAAGTATCAGCTGAATCTGCAGAATTTCTTTGGGATCCATGAAACACCCCTGAAAATTCTCAGGTCAATTTTCAAGCAGTCTCTGGAAATTTTTAGAAGAATATAAATTTCGCGAGCATTCTCTGGAAGACTCTTGGTGCCGGCCCGTGTGGCGTAGTTCAGTTGAAGCTGTACTGCAGTACTAAGGGTCCATGGTTCAGGCGTGGATGTTTGTAAATGCATCGTGGGTTGGGTTAGTAGAGCCGCCTTGGCCGAAACCCCGCCCACTCAAAATTAAAGGCATAAATAAAAATAAATAAAATATATTCTTGAATAATCTATGAAGGACCTTTTAAGCGTCTCCCAATATAAATTCAAAAGAATGTCGAAAAATCTTTAAAAATCTCATAGAACCTCTGAAGCATGTTTCAAGAATAAATAAGCATTTTATAAAGAATAGTCACATTCTGTTAAACATGTGTATGAAGATGAAGCATATAGAAAATGAACTTGTTTGAGGTAGAAGAAGACTTCTCAAGGTTCAGTTTGGAAGGGGCTATGTGTGCTACCCACGGCAATTTTTTTTTAAATTGGGGACGTGGGTTCGGAAAAAAACAAATTGGCGTTTCGGCTTGTTTTTACCACCCGCACGTTAGTAAGAAAGGTATTGCGTTGGGGTAAAAATGATCCCCCCCCCCACTTTTTTAGACGAAAATACACGCTTTGAAGCACCAAAAACGGAATCAAACAAAATCTCGATCATGTCGATCGGTCTGTCTATCTGTACTCTCATTTCTGGCTAAACTGCTGAACCGATTGGAACCAAATTTGGTACACATGTTCTTAGACAAAAAGGACAGACTCGCGATGCGCAGGTGTGAGGGTGGTATCTGTGCTAGCCACAACATTTTCTTTGGTTCAGTGGAAATTTTGTAATTTCGGCTATCCAGAGCTCGAAATTGTTTAGGCGGATGCCATTTAAAAATATGACATTTGGCGAAGTACAATCAAAACTTTCTTTTCTCGATAAAGTGTCTAAAAAAATTGTGAAAGTGGAAGAGGTCTGTGTCTGTGCCTCAATTCAAAAGTCAGCCGCCGAGCGCGATTTAGTTTTTCTAAACAATTTTGAAAGACGGCCAACTTTTGAGGACGAAATCGTTAAGTTCTTCGAGTACCTACGTTCCAAATCGGTAGTAAAATATGGGGTATTCTTTCATTTAAAAAAATGTAAGTTGTGTACGGCGCTGGAATACAGCATGCCACTGGTATTAGAAAATTTCATAAAAATAGCGACGGTAGGTAACAGTGCACAATTTTGCTCCAAGATTTTGTTCGGTATCTTTTATGGTAAAGGAGTTATAAATTTATGATACAAGGGGTCTTAGATGTTACACCCTGTATAAACACGATCACAATTGTGGTTACATACTTTTTCTAACTACTATGTAACTACTAGGTTGAATATATATTCAAAGCTTACTACCTAGTTCATAAAAATCCGTGTTCGTAAACTTTCATCGAAAAAGCAAGGGTTCGCGTAAGTACAAACACCCACATTTTTTAAATGAGCGAACTGAAACTTTTACTTCGATAGTAAGAAAATCGCAACTAAAAAAACAGTACAAATCGTCTGTCATCTCCTGAAAGACCGCCACAAATGGTCAGATTAAATAGTCGGAAAAATAATAAATAATAAATGGCTCTCCTTTTACAAAATCAAGAGAATGTATGAGATGTGCCATCGCGTGAAAGCGTACGAGTTGGACTCATTATTTAAATGGTTCCCAGCAATTAAAAATATTTATACACGAATCAGATTCTTTCAAAGCTATGTGTTGATCCGAAACTTTGATAAATGGCTAACGTATACCTATTTACGAAATAATCTCTCCTCGCCTCCCTTTCTATATACTAGGTATATGTATATCTGCACGTCTTCAGTTATTTTAGTTTACAAACTAAAACCTGTGAAAAAGGAAAAGTTTGAGTGCATTTTGTGGAAATCGGCGGCAGTATTGCGTTGAATAACAAACAAGTGGATATAACTGAAGCGCATTTTTCCAAGGGTTTGCAGAGAAATTGGCTTATAAGGTTGTTACCTGGGGCAGCTTTTTTCTATGGGGGAAAATATGCCAAAATTACCTGCCGGGCTTGTTTAACCCTTTGGAGTAGTTTTAGTAGAGAACAGGGCCGTTCTAGCAAATTCTTTGATCTTTATTATAAAATTTTGCTTCGTAAGCTTTTGAGCTCGTTCCTGCAAAAAAGGTCTTTTTCGCGCGATAGCTATGGGTTGCAAGTATAATTATCTGTTTTCTACCTGTCAGTCAATGAGGTAAACGCGCATAATTTATTAGATAAATCTCAAGAAGACAAAAATGAACAGGGGTCAATAAACAACTCTCTATTTCGACCCAGTCAGAGATGCTAGAATTATCATTTAATTACCCATTAGCGAAATACATGCACGGAGAGGAAGCAGCGATAGTTAAATACCCATGACTTACAAATTTAAACAATTTTCCACTTAATTACCTCATGAAACGAACCTTTTTGTTATTGCATCAACGGCAGCTATTAGGTATGCGTGGTGCCATTATGTGTAACATGTTGGCTATTCAAATCCCAGCGTTTCGCAAATTGGGCCGATTATACAAAAGTAATTGATACAATTTTAAATTTCTAGAACACTATAACTATAACAGACCGTAATTTTGGCATTAGGGTACTGCACATCTCAACAATACCAAAGGCATTTTTAACTGGAACGTATTCCATTTCAAAATAATGGTCTATCTATTATTTAATTGATGAAATGTAGTACCTTCTAGACAATTGTACAGTTATTACTTTCACCTTTGTTTCGTATAATATTACATCTTTCGCTCCAATGATCCTTTTTTCTCCGTAACTTTACTACATATCCTGTCTACTTTTACTAACTTGTTTACTGTGTTTCTGATCAGATAATAGAAAAGTAAATCAATAAGTACATATTTTTGGAGCAAATTATTAACTACAGGTTGCACAACTCAAAATGACCGTTCTTCAAGGAAGCGTGAAATTTGAATTCGACACAATATGTAGACTGCTTACAAAAAGAGAGTGTTAACGGCCCCTTGGCATACATTAAAAATCCACGCTACATAATGCAAGACGAATCAAGTCCTTAGAGTACCATGAAGGATAAAACTAGTCTCCCACTCCCTATTTTGATAAGGGGTAGAGAAGGGCGGTAATTGGTAGATCCCCCCCCCCCCCCCGGGTAGCTGTGTGACACACCTTCAAGATATAGGCTACCTATTGCAAACAAGTCCAGTACTCTAGCACAACTGCCCTAAAAGTAGTTCAAAGCAGAACGAACAGACAGACGGACGGACAATACACAAAAAATACCACCTTTTTTTAATAAAAAAAAATGGTGAAAATACAAATGCAATGTTGCGATTTGAGACTAGGAAGTACCGTACCGTTGAAAATCGCTTTGAACACCAGCGATCGCTCAAATCCAAAATGGTGGGCATATAAGAGAATAAATTTCTAATGAGGTGAGTAGGTTATACGTAACCCAGCTTATGGTTTGTGAATATCGTCACCGGAAATCTCGGCAGGCATTGGAAATCGATCGACTGAAAATTGTTAGAGAATCGGGGGTGCTTTACGATTGACAGAGACAGGGGAAATGCAACTTTTTGAATTCTTAATGTCCGTCTCGAATTTTGATCTTTCAATCTTCCGTAAAGAATTTTGAAGTTCGAAACGTGGTTTATAGCAAAGAGTATACCCTTCAATATTGAATGATGAAGCTTGAATGTGGGGAGTGGCAGTGGCGTAACTTCATTTTTGGGGTCCGTCTTCAAAAATATTTGTGGAGCCACTCTGAGATGTCTGATTTCAACACAACAGTGTTGCAATTATATCAACCATTTTTAAACAATGTTAGTCTGTATATGTAGCAAATAGTGTCTTGATTTAGCTTTGCTAATTTTGCATTTTTTGAAGTTCATACAGGCCCATTGTCAAATTTAGTGTTACTTTGTTTTCTGCGTTTAGTCAGAGTCCAGTTGATTTTGTTCGAACTTTAATTGTAGTTTTGTATAATATTTGTACCATATCAAAAGGTAATGTACTTAATTTTAATTGTAATTCTTCGTTTTATTGTGAAATGTATTGCCTTCACCTACTTGTAACTAGCCGGAGGTAACCCACGAATTTGTTTGTTATTTGCTTGTTTCACTTTAAATGTTATTCTTATTTTCATTTGTTTAAGATTGGTCAGTTGTTCATGTTCTTTTGATGTTTCGATGCCGTGCAAAGGTAAATGCTGGAGTGTTAAAATTACTTAGCGGCATTCATCTCGAAATATAACTTCAGTCTAAGGTTACCGTAGCCTGGACCTTCAGATACCTTCTGGATTGAAGAAGGTCCCGCTAATTAACAAAGTATTTTATGTACTTTATTTAAGAGACTTCGGAATATTATTTTTCACAAATGGGAAAGGAGTGGAGTTGCTTTTAAACCTATAACCTATTTGAGCTCACTATTTTTGAGCATATCAAATTTTATATTAGATTAAAGTCAGATTTAAATTATTCAAATTCAAGAGTTACTTTCTCGGATTGTTCATTTTTCTATATTGTAGCTATTGTCCCAAATTTTTTTCCTATATTTACCCTCTGTGAACAATGATTCGGAAGTTTCTTCGGCTCGTTTCTTTTTTCCGCTGAGTTCTAGGGGAATACGGCATGGCTTTGGCTAAATGCATTCTGTCTAAATTTGTAGGAGCTCTTTCGGCATTTCGAATCATTTTACACTTTTAAATAAACTATTCAATAAACTTTCTCACACGTAAACATTCTATTAGATGTATTTTATTATATGTCACTTTCATTTATTTATTTTCTTTATTTTTTTAAATTTATGCCTTTATTTCTGAGTGGGTGGGGTTTCAGCCATCTCCTGTGATGACGTTGGCGTTGTCAAGGAAGTTACGGAGTTCAAGTAGCTCGTTCGTTGCACATTTCCACGCGCTGCTGCTTTTAAGCGTCGGACAATACTTTTTGGCACAAGTTTCGTGAAAATCTTACGCATGACTAAGTCTTCTGGAACAATTCAATAAACATCAGTTTTCGGCAAATTTATTGTTCTGACATCAAACGAACGCTCATTGGGCGGTATTTGTTCAGCGAATCTTGCACACGAGTGAAATGATCGTTGAACGACTTGAACGACAATTAATCATCCTGAAAGACTGAATTTTCTCGCATAGTTTCTCCAAAGTTCTCTCCATCCTCACCACGAGGAGGCTCTTCGCGGAGGGTCACTGAAAAGGACGTCCCGCCGCTTCGAGGGCTCGTATGAAACTGAACCAGGCGTCGCTGAAAAGCGTAGGCCCCCCCCCCACAAACGCTTGTGCAGGGAGCGCTGTACAGTGTCTTGTCCAAACCGTTCATCTGATTGCAATAAAACTCTGGGAAATGGTTGGACGTACCTGTATGCCCGCGAAAGCCTCAGAGTTAGTAAAACACTTTACAAAATTCCCACGGGAACGGGAACCAGAAAAAAACAAGATTTTATGTTTTGCAGTTGCAAAGAGACTTGACATTTAGAACACATGTTTCTTTGAAGGCGTTAAGGTGTACACCGAAAGAACTTCCTGAACGGGAAAAAACGTGAACGATTCTCAGGTACCAAATTGCGTTGCACTCCGCGTAGGTTTCGGAATGTTGGCTGGAACTTTAGACTTGGTAGCCAACAGTTACGAAGTTTTGTCATTTTTTTCAATTTTCTGCTACCTACAAAAAAGTTACTCCGCCTTTTTCACTATTTGTAGCAACTTGCTTAAAAGATTGATGATGTCCTTAATTTGACGCTTAATACAGAAAATCGGCTTGTTCTCCGTAAAAATGTTTATTCTATGATGATAAAGGATGAAGTCTAGATTAAAAAGGGCACGTAAAATGTGTAATTAGCGCAATCCTAAGGGGGAGATATAAATCATTGCTTAGATTTCACATTCTGTATTATAGTTGCCATTAGGACCTTTGTGGGACTTTTATTGGGTGTAACTGTCAGTGATTGTTCCCTACTATAGATTTATGGATTTTTAGTTCACCTGATTGTTCATTTAACAGTGTTGGTTGTTCAAAGATGCTAAATCCCTCAGATCCTTCACTAACTCCCCCTGAAGACTAGCCTTTATTATTTGTCACAGCAATCAAGATAATAGTCTTGAAGATTGAGGAACCGTCGATAAGAAGCTACCAGGGAAGCTATAAAACAATGCCATCCAACTATGCTATTTTGATCATTTCCAGCAGTTCCAAATTGCATTGTATTTGGAGGAGGATATTTTTGGGAATCAGATCGTTGTCTGAAAACGTTAAAATCATGAGTGATACGCTTTTCAGAAATGTTTCGGAATGTATTGAAACTGTTTAGGATTACCGTTTCGTAACTAGAACTAACAGTCTTAAACCGATGTGGTACTCTGATGGGTGAGGCTGTGCAAATTTGAAGCTTAGAGTCGCTCAATATCTTGCACAGTACCGTAACAAAGTTATGTACGAGTAGGTATTAATTTAAATTGCTAATTTTCCTTTTCAATAACAAGAAGTGAAAGAGAAACCGAATTTACGTAGATTACATAGTTATTGTGAAAGTCACTGTAAAACTATTCTCAAGTGCATGTCACTGTCTACAACTTTGAGGAATTGTAATCCTTACATACCGCTCTTACATTTTAATTTACTTGTGACCTAGACCTAGATGTTACCGGTTTTTTTTTATTTCCAGGCGAATGCGCTGTGTACCGTTTTGGCGGCGATAGCAGTTTACCAGGTGCTTAGTCTTCCGATGAACGAAAATATAAAGTTACCACGTGTGGGCACGTCGAATCCTTACGAAATAAATGGATTAAATTATGCACATCAAAAATCTGTTATAAATAATGCGAGTGCGTTGGAAAATTCGTTGGACTATGTCGATAAAACTGTGCGCCAAGTGCAAGAGATTTTGAAAGCAAATTCGTCACTTCCCAGATTAACCAGAGGCGAAATTTTGGAAATTATCGAAAAACTCACCAAATCCGATTTGGCCGCGGCTCAAAGGGAGAAATCGAAACAACGCGATCAAAAATCTGTTATGTTAGTCATGCCGTACACGCCAAATCGTGACGATGACGGCAAAATGCAGGAGTTATATACTAAAGCGCCGGTTACACAAATTGTCAACGACTCAAAACCTGGAAACGCGAGACCCACGAGCAGGGAAAAAGTGCAAGTCAAACAGAGAGGCGTGCAGTCGACTACTGCTACCCCGAAAGTTAAGACTAGCTCATCAGGTGAGACAACCTCAACCATCGCTGTAATACTTAACACCACTCCTAACCTATCAAATCGTTCATCACTAATGACAAATATACAAAAAGGTAGTCACAGACAAGTGACCGCAGCTACAGTAAAACAAATACTACACGAATTAACTACGGAAAGGATGAAGTATCGACGTGGAAGCACCACGCAGAAACCAGCTTCATCCGCCGAAAACAGTGTAAGACGACGACCGGTACAACAATCGCCCCGTTATCCTAATCACAAATACCCTGACGAATTGCAATCTAACAACTCATTATCACCATTAACCTCAGATCATTTCACAACTCAGAAACCCGTAAGGTTTACTCATCAAACTGTTTCCGATCCGAAACCATCCAAACCTCATCGTTTCACAACACCAAGACCGCCATTATTGGAAGTTAATTTACCTGACGAATTGAAATCAACTTTAGATGAACTAAACATAGGGGATTCCCTTAAGAAAAATCCTCTAAAGTACGATTTCTTTAACTTACCGAATCCCAATGATCGCATTGAGGAGAATTATGGAATCATTGACACATTTTCGCCCGCTCCACCCGCCGTACCTGACATTTCTAACGTTGCTAACACCTTAACGCCGGAAATGAAAGAATTATTAATGAACTTTGGGTTATTAGCAGATTTCAATCATCAATCGCCTAAAGTAAAGGAGGAACCGTATCTTGGACGAACCACGGCGGAAGTACGACCCGACTCCTACATTAAGTTTAAACCGCTACCAGAAATTAGTGGAGTAGACGAGGAAATGGAAGAGTTTCTGGGACGTTTCGGGCTTGGAAAAAGTGCACAGAGCGGCCGCAAGAATAGAAAAATTCACACCCCTCAAGACACACTTTCGGAGATACCGGGTGTCGACTTCGAGATAGTTCCGGATACATTGCAAGACGTAGTGAAGAATTTGGGTTTGTGGAATCGAGAGGGAAAGGATTTTGAGCACCACGTTTCGCCCCCACAAACTCACGTTTTCAATCCAATTGAGAGCACGTACGCCACGCAAGAAGAGCTCGACAAGCTAAACCAACTCATGGAACTTATTAAGCAGTTAGAAAAACTGAACGGTACAGCCAGTGAGGCAGACTTGAACAAATTGGACATGGACCAGCTGAAGGAACTCGTGGGAAGTTTGCAAAAAAACGACTCTGGGCTTCTTGGCGCAGATGACGACGACTTAAATCCGATTAACTACGACATTGGGTTGAGTAAGAATGAAGTTAAACGTCAGGAAAACTCTACTTCGACTGAAGCTACGAGCGCGGCGACCAGTAATCAAGAAACCGAAACCGTTAACATCAAGGACTTGGAGGATTCTTTTGGTGGCAGCGCCGCCATTGAAGCTGAGGTCACGGTGCCGCCTCCCACAGAAGCACCGAAAACCGGCTTCTACTATCTACTCGATTGGAATTCATTCTTCGATATTGATGATCAAAAAGGGAAAAGAGTGAATTTAAGGTTTCAACCGAAAGTTGGCGATCCACGGCAGTTCATTTCCGTATCCGTTCCTTAATTTCCTTCGTTTACGCATTGTACATATTTAATAACGCGCGAGACCTTAGAAATTTAAGAGTATTATGTAAATATAAATATTTATTTTGTGGTAAATAAAGTAAAGAAAGTGGAATTTATTTGAATAAGTGCAAGTTTGGTATTATGGGCACTTATCTCTATTGCGATAATAAACCACACTTTGTGAATAGTAATGGCGATCGATGGTTTGTTCGTAATTTGCTGCATTTTATTAAACTTCTGTTCTGCGGAACAGATATGGCACTCTTATCAGTTCGAGTCTGGATACGCCAACCGAGAAGGTGACATTTTTGCTTAATTTACGGACAATTTCCAATCTCCCTTGTAGAATTGGTCATAACAAAAGTTACAACTGATAATAGCTTTGCCGCCGATGGTAGCGTTTTGGCATGGAAAACCTTGGCAGGTAACGGAAAAGTGTTCGGTGCTGGTTTGTTGGATAATGCCATGGTATTATTAAATGTGGAATTATCACAAGATGGCAAATCGTTTGTTGCACGACAGAAAGTGGCGGGTAAGTGCGTGGGTGAATTTGAAACGTTTTGAATCAGGGTGCGTTTTAGAATTCCCTTGGAAGGTTACTGCAGTAGAAATGTTCCAACATTGGAACACTGAAACACGCAAATTAGAGATTATACTCATTTCGGCCATTATCAATGACAACACCGCGGAATTGAGGTGGTACAAACTTAACGACCTCGATCTGGTACCTACGTTTAAGGGCACTTATTCACTCACTAAGTGATTAATTACAGGAACACTTCTGGACGTGGCCACTTCAGAAAAAGATCTCGCATATGCAATTTTTTCAGCTGGAAAGCGACAAATGTAGACTTCTAATCCTCAACGATACAGCAGATGTGTACGAATTCAGCGTGAACTCCCTGACGTCCCCCCAGTTTTGGTAATTATCCTCGCATTTGTCCGCCATATGCGTTTTACTCCCCTTTCAGGCTTTCGCAAACGCTACAACTTTCGTCTCCCGCAAACAGTTCGGCCATTAATTCTTATGGTTCGGATATGTATCTCTCCATACCACAACAAAAGCAGAACGAAGTTCTGGTGTACAAACTAATAAAGGACCATTTTGAGTTTTGGATTGCTATCAGTAGTAACAATGTAAATCAGGTGGCCTCCTTTAAAATCGGTTTCAAATCCTTTTTGGCGATTAACGGCGACACGCCCTCCATTTATAAGTTTGTTAAGGATAATATCGAGTTAGAAAACGTGAATGGTATCCATTTGACCAATGTCGAATTTTGGCTGCCCGTTCCCGTGAAGACCTACAGGGACGAAGTTGCGTTAATTTTGCAACGCACCGTTGACCATGACACGTACAAATCTCATTCTTTAGAGGCCGTTCTGTACGACGGACATAATTTTAATATGCACGAAGAGATCCCCTGCTCATTTTTTGGCGAGGCGGCGCACGGGCTGGATTGTATGGTCGACGAGGATGGATTCAATGGATTGTTAGGGGCGGCAGTTGTTTCCTTGAAAGACGTTTTAGGTATTTTAGTGCCGCATAAGAGTAAAACTATCATGTTTATGGTCGAAACGGTCTTGAAGCAACGTAAAGGTCCTGTAGAATTAGAAGTTGAGAAACTGATTGAAACTAGACAACAGCTTCAGGTAGGTTTAACATAGGTTCGACACCGCGAAAAAATTCCCACTATTTACACTCATATTTATAGGTCCTCAACATTCGGTTGGGATAGACGCAACTTAACTCGACTCTCCTTGCTCTTACTTTAATTACAATGACCTTCATTTATCCTCATTTTGAATATACACACGTACTGCAGCATAATTAACTTACTCTATTTAGATCTGAAATAAACTTACATTTCTAACCGCGCTTGTTACATACTTTATGAATAGCGTCATAGTTGGCTGTGATAATATCGAGAACTTGTCAATTTATTTCGAGTTGCGAATTGTACCTTATATAGAATATACACAAAGAGCCAGTGATCAATTTTGAGGTTGTCATTTCAAAAGTCATGAAAATTCACACAGTAAATCCTCTATACCTATTGAATATTAAAAGTCAATTTTGGGCGCCCTAGGTGGTCGGGGTTTAAAGAGTAAGAAATATGATTCATGTTGGTCAAAATATCAGTCAGTGATTTTTGAAGAATGCTTGGGTAGTGTTCTGTATTCATGAAAAAGAACATTTACATCCCTCCTAATCGTTTAAACACAAAGCTAATCAATTACAGTTGAACCAAATTAATTGAACGTAAATCAATCAATAATAAAGCTGAAATAAACAGTGGCGTTCAGGGCTAGCAGACAAATACAAAGCACATGCGATTGATTGAACAAATTAATCTTAATTATCTTAAATGTGCGATTAACACAATACTCCGACTAACTTTTTCGTAAACGTGAACTCCGCTTAAACTCGATTTAAACCAGCGAAGTCGGAAGTGAATAACGGTTGGGGGGGGGGGCAAAAATCAGCGACCATGGAGTCTGAAAGGTCCCTCTCGTGAACAATGTGTACGAATTAATGCAGAGCAGTGGGTTTTTTAAGTGACCCTGAATCCTGTTTATTTAATCAATCAAATAATCTATTTTTGAAAGAAAAGTTTTGAAAAAATTTTTAAAAAATGTCGGAGGATATCGAGTTATATGCAACTGAGCAACTCAGAGATACTTGACTTGAGAAAACCATAGGCATAGATCATTAATATTTTATTTAAAAAAAATGAAGAACTAGAACATACAAAAGTTACAAAAATATTCATTGCTCTATTGAGCATTGTAAAGAAAAGCAAGTATAAAAAATTAAATATATCCAAAAATTTTCCGCTTTTCCGCAAAAATTCCTTCAATATATCCTATACTTCTACACTTGTAATTTCTGCATGCACATGCAGTATAAGATGTGTTAGCTGCTTTTGAGTGATTTATCTACTCATTCTTAAAGGGGACGCGGCCCCCTTGTGTAAGACTGTCTTGCAAATAAAACACTTAATTACTGCCAAACAACAAAAACCTCCACTAACATAAAAAGTTTCGTTTCACGCCCGTCTCTTCCATTTAACCACTATTCGCTTCTACAACATCGGTCGCAACTTCTTTATCAAAATTCATGCGTCGTCGAACGAAATTAAACACATGCGTTGTCTGAACGGCGAAACCCCCTTACCTTTAAACTTAATTAGCTTTACGTAGCATTAAAAAAAGTTTATCGTAATGACCGGAGATAAATTTTAAAACAACACAATGCAATTACCTAATAACAGATGAACCGTATCTTTTCTCTCTTTACAATAAAGTAAACAAAATAAACAAATTAATTCATTAAACAAAATCAACATCAATTAAAACTGATACAAAATACATTCACCTCACATTCGAATGTTATCGAAATTGTGTTCATTCTAAATCGACAACCAACATTTAAAGGTGGGTTCATAGCTCTCCGTTCATCCGTTGCGTTGATCCGTCAAACGGATAGTACATTTTGTTAAGGTTCATAGCAATCCGTCCACATTGTACATTTGCAAGTATAACCATAACCTAAACTTTATTTTGTACTGTACCCTCCGTGATTTTCAGTATGTGAAAATGGTACGAAAGTAAGAACACATTGCTATCTGATTATTACTGTGAAGAACGAATAGGCGAACGCTGTTAACATACCAAATATAACCTCACTCTTGTTAAAAACGGACCAACGGAAACGTAAATGTTCAACTTCAACCAACTTTTCCGTCGTAAACGGATGACGCACGATTTAAAAATTTGCTGTCTTCTGATTGGCTAACGGACAAACGGAAACGTATGAACGGAGTGCTATGAACTTACGTTAACGTCAAAAATAAATGAAATGAAACACATACAGTGTGACCCAACATTACTGTAGGTGCTGAAGCTAAATAAAACGTCCACATGGCGTAGTTTACAGAACAATATTTCCATTTCATATTTCTCTGTACTCTCCCGAAGTGTACGAGAATTCAGTTGTTGCTCAAGAAACCCAGGCACTGGAATTCTGCTGAATTGCACCTTATAATACGGACGAGGATCTAATCCACTGCGGTTTGGGCCAGATAAAACCAATTAAGATAAACAATTTAGGCGCTTGTTACGCCAATATCATAACGCCGAGGCTTCCAGAACTCAAATTTTGAAAGCAAGCCTATATTTCAATCGGTCTGTATACTGGAAATTCTAATAAGAACATCCAAATTAAGGGCTATCGTTATATCATTCTTTGACATTCCAAATCTCTGCCTGTAATGCTATAGTTGCGAAAAAGTTGACCTTCCCCTAGTATGAGTAATATTATCGCACCAAAAGTAAGAGTTGAACTGGTATAATAGTAGAAACACAGTTTAAAAATTAACATGACGAAATTCTGAGATTATATATCGACATAAGCAAATAAAATCCCCACTTGCCACCTTACATTGTCGTATACCTTGTTTAACCCGCACGTATCGAGAATGTTCGTGATCTTTCTTAAAACTTTCAATTTGGTATATAAGCAAATCGAATTGTGTTTAATAGACAGTTCCAACATCGACGCTCCACTGATAAATAATCGCGCTCGTGTTTACATGTTATAAATTGCGTACAAGTGAGTCGTAGATAGTAATTTACGGACTTCATTATTAATAAATTGTAAATAAATAAATCACGTAATTAATTGTATGTTGCATTTAGATCTTTTTTGTACAATTTTAAATTCACACTCGTATATTCTACAATCTGTTTTACTTACATCTGTGATTAACAACTAAATTGCCAAACATCTTGGATGCTCAAGGTACACTGAGAATAACTTTATTCCGTTTTCAGAAAATGATATCGGAACAAAAAGCCCAAATTGAATCGATTCAAAAACGTTTAGAAACGACCCCTCGTGAAGACGATGTAGATCGTGTCACCATTTTGCCGGTGTATCAAGAGGAGGTGACCACAGTTATTGTACCGCTTCCAGATGATCAAGTAGTTCACGTCGGTGACCTAAAACATCTAACTGATGATTTTGAAAAAAATCTAAGCGAAACAAAAGCCGAATTTGGAAAAATTGCAGCTGATAATGAGGCAGAAAGGCGCTTTGGATTATTGAACGTGTACGGGGATTTGCAAGCTTTGGGCTCCATCTCATTTCAAAACATCAATACTGATCTAATTAATGATGAAAGTGTTGAGGAAGTACTGCGTGACACAGTGCAGTAAGTTACCTCCACTATCTCATCTTTTTCAGCTCACTTGTTCACAGAAAGAATGCGGCGAATATAATCTCAGGTCATAAAACTATCAATAGTGCCAACATTGGCAGCCTCACGTTTAGAGTGGCTAACGGAATTAATTCCGAAGATTTGTTGTACAAGACCGATCAGCCTCTAAGATTAAATGGGCGATTGGTATTTGAAAATCAGGTGGAGGTATTTGGCGATGTTACGACCACACACGGAAACGTAAACGACATTCGCCTAATGAACGAAGTGGTCGAAATGAAAAGGACATACAACGGTAATAATACTCACATGAATCACGATAACGGTTATTTTCCAGATACTTTCGAGTTTGAACACGTAATCGTAACAAAAAAATTGAACACTTCCCAGGCGAATAGTTTTCGGATTCAAAAAAGTTTCGCAGAGATCGTCGGGGACGTCGGTTCAAAAGTGGAAACCTTAGATTTGGATTCGGTTGAAATGCTTGGAGATATTACCGTTGAAAATGTCAACGGGGAGAATTTCGAATTGTTCAAAAAGTCTCTCCGTTTAAGAGATGTCGACAGTTACATTCCTGGGGAGACGTTTATGGCTGATGTACGTAGACTTGCACGTCGAATCGTTGTGTATTTCTTCTTTTAGAATGTAATCATTACTGGAGCAATCGACGCCCAGTACTTGAATGGAGTCAAGTTCCCGGAGGACCACCTATTCACAAACTCCGAATTTAGCACAATTACAGGTTGGAAGTGGACGTTGAAGTAACTTACCTTTTCTGTTCTGCTTAGGCCAAAAAAACTTCTTGAGTCCGTTGCACGTGGAACAGCTCATCATTGAGGGTAGTCTTAATGGAATCAGACCAGACAACATTGTAACGCTTTCCACTAGTCAGTCGTTACCGGGAAACTTCCTTTTCACTGATCTTGAAGTTACGGAGGTTATTAATGTAAAGGATGAGGTTAACATAACAGGATCATTTATGGAAAAATTCTTGCCCAATCCTGGTCTGTTGGAGACTAACAGGATTAGCGCGAGAGCCAATTTTAGATCCCTAATTGTAGAGGGCAGTGTTATTGTATCGGAGAACTACAATAATAAGAACCTGCAAGATCTTCTCCAGGATGTCATTTATCTGGTTAGTATGATCATTTTTGATCAAGTGACTTAGCTGTAACTTTCAGACTGATAGTTACGCACATGTTACCTCAGTTAAAAACTTTACGAAGGGGCTTTCCGTTAGCAATGGTATCATATCGACGTCAGAGCGTGTTGGTGGCATCCCACTTTCTTCCATCATCACCACGAACACTGAGCAAACAATTTTAATGCAGACATTGAATGGTGCCGTAGTCTTCCAGAATCTCCTAGTGCAGGGGTTATACTCAGGCATCAATATTACGAAACTGGACCTAGAAACAGTGAAGCTTAGCGGTGATCAGTTTTTGCCGGCCACTCTTGTATTCGAAAATGATGGTCGAATGGTTGATTTGACAGCGACCAAGATGGAAATATCAGGCACGTTGAATGAATTTCCCGTTGCCAATTACTTTTACGACACCGATGGAAGTGAAAGAGATATGGAAATTAATTTGATAGACTTTTCCAAAATACAGGCGCGCAATGTTATTGTGGAAGGGAGCCTGGCGGGATCAATAGACAACTTCTCTCTTGAGGAATTTGACAAAAGACGCTTAAGCGCGACAAGACAACAAACAATCTCTGCTAAATACACAGCGGGGCGTCTCCACGCGGAGAACCTAATTGCCAAATGGGTTAATGGGGAATTATTTGAGAAACTCTTCGACCGTGACTACTACTTAGATCTGATATCGGATAAATTCGTTGCCGGCGACCTGTTTGTGAAAAGTAACTCCAGCTTTCAACTACTCGCAGTCATTTTTTATTTGCAGATATCAACGTGATCGGAAACTTGTCAGTGGAACAAGTTATTAACGGAGAAGACGTTACTGAGCTTGTCAAATCGCCCGTTTGGACCGACAAAAACAACAATTTCACCGAAGTCACTTTCGCTGTAAGGCTGTTACTTGGCTGCGCGAAACTTACCTTCCTTCTTTTAGGGGGACCTCTTCGTCAATCATTTCAATTTAAAGCACTTCAATGGAGTGCCCTTTAAACTGTTCACCGATAATGTGATCTACAAAGATGAAAAAAATCCGGTCATTACCGGTTTTAAGAATTTCGTAAACGGTTTTCGCGTCACAAGGATGCTCAATTCGGAATATTTGAATGGCATTCACGTGGATAACATTTTGATGAAAACCGGAGAACAGGCAGTAAAGGGACCGGTTACTATTACTGGAAACGTAATTGTTAATTATGATACTGTGGTGGACGAGGGGCTCAATGGTGTTCCACTGTCTTATTTACGGGACGTTTACCATTCGGAAAATAACACTTGCGTTATAAATGGTGAATCACATTTATTGCCATATGATACTCTTAAACAAGCTTACTATTTTAACTATTTTAATTAAAAATACTTACGAGGGTCGTGTAAATTTAACGATCGTCGATTTCCATACCGCGTTTCAAGTACTTTACACGTACTGTTTGAATTTTTTTCTCGCGGCTTGACACCAATTACCCGGAGGTTTAATTTGAATTCTTTACGCAGACTAAAATCCACCTTGCGCTAACTTACAGGTTGTAACTTTTTTAACCGCTCGACGCAAACGCTATCGTGGCTTAAGCTTAACGCGTATTGACTCACGGCTCTCTGCTAACAGCCTAATTCCTACCATTTTACTTTTTATGATTCACGCCAATTCCGTAACTTATTATACCGTCTCCGCCATTTCTTGACGCACATAACCCTACTCCGCGTGTACCAATTTTCCGCAAAGTTGGCAAAAACCCACGTTACACAGCAAGCTCGATAACCACGACAGCAAAATAAACAAAATCTTCTTGTAATCTGAACTAAACGCTTAAATCCCACGATTTACTGGCGCCGCTAGCTTCTGCACGAATTTAAAAAGTCAGGACCGTATTCAGGAACCAGTCGCACACACACCAAATCGAAAAAATGTAGAAATCCCTATCGGAACGTAGTTATATTCTATTGCATTTTTACCACGGCCTGATGATAATCCAACTCTTTACAGTTTACACCGACTTTGAGATCGTTAAACGTTCTGACCGAACAATACTAGTAATAATAATAGTAAAGGCTGATTCTCACTTGGCGATCACATTAGCGTAGAGACGCGACGCGGTAACGGAACGTATGAGAATTGGCCTTAAAAGACGCCCTTCGAAGAAACCGGCAAATCTAAATTCATACTCCACATTCGATCGCAGATGTCATTGCTAACATCATAACAGTGAAACCTTAAAATCAATTATCTTTTGAAATCTTTTTTAGAAATAAACATCTATCTATGAGAACTTCGCAGTTTTCCAGAAAACTCAATTTAAGAAATCTTGGTCTTACCGACACCATAGCCAGGGGATAGCCGCAATTTTTAAATACTTCATCAGTTACCTTACAAGCTTCTCTTCTTATTTTTTTCCCTTCTAGTGTTCACTCACCTGTTGCTCCTCCTCCACTATTTTTTCGGGTTTCTTAAATCCGGCGTTTACCCTATCGTAACATAGTCCTGAAATGCGATAGCGTTGGCCTGCTCCTGCCGCTTATGCTGGATCAGTGGAGCTCTCGTTTCCCTATAGTTCTGGTTTGCTTCGTCTCACCCTCTCTATAAGGCTTGGTAATTAAACTCTTTGGGGAATCGCTGTTTCTGTACCGCTGCCTTACTTTTTCCTGAGAAGGGGGTGAATTGCACACCAAAAATTTTAAATGGGAAGGGGTACTAAATGTTAGATAGGTCGAAAGGAATGTTCATTATGTTTTCAGAACTGTTTTTATTTTTCAAATCCGATCAGTAGTTCCAGAGAAAACTCGATACAAATGGATTTGCAGAGCTGTTTTAAAAGTAGTAGGCGTTGAAGTTGAAATAATTGAGAGCTTGTGTCAGAAAAGAACATCTGACACAAGCGCAAGCAAGGAAGCGAATTTGTGAAGGCAGAATCGCCAATTTAAAAAAAAATCGAAACAATTTCCACCCTTTGCGCTATAGTGTAAACCGTCATTGTTTTTGAATTTACTACAAAATTAAACAAGTTAATCACAAATTCGCTGCATTGTTTGTGCGCTTATTGCACTTATCTCAGATGTTCTTTTCTGACACAAGCTCTCAATTATTTCAACTTCAACGCCTACTGATCGGATTTGAAAAATAAAAACAGTTCTGAAAACATAATGAATATTCGACCTATCTAACATTTACTACCCCTTCCCATTTAAAATTTTTGGGGTGCAATTCACCTCCTTCTCAGGGTTAAAGTTATGTAAGTAGTATTACTTAATTTAGGTGTCCCCCTCAAACCTAAAATTGACGTGTTCGAGCGTTTCTGGCAAAACTGTCGTTAAGTGGGCAAAATTGGCATTGACTGTTTTCAGTGGGCTACCCATACCCTCCTGGACATTAAGCTGAGAATGAAAAAGACGACCAGCAATAGCACATTATTAAATAAATTCTATATAAAGTGCTATAATTCCAAACTAGGTAGGTATATTACAATATTATAGTTCAGTTTGAGTGACTTCACCGCATGTGTAAACGGGAGTGCCAATTTTTGTTATTTTTTAAAGTTCTAAGCAAAAACGCATAAACCAAACGGTTTTTAAAAATTATTCAGTTTCTTGAAACAATATAACATACGCCGATACGCGATAATAAGCAAACAACGGGTATGGTTCTCCAGCTAAAATCCCTTTCGGCTGCGGCCGATCAGGTGTAGGTAGATATTTCAGATTTCTTTCACCGCATTAACATATAAGTGTCCGCCATTTTGTTCCAATATGGCGGAATTGGCTGATACACGAACTTAACCTAGATATGTTTATGAGTTACAGTTTACACCAACCCTTAAAGTTTGGTCGAAATCGATTCATAATTACAAAAGTTAGAGTGTTTCTTGGAAGTGATAAAACCTATAAATCTATAAACCTATAAATATACTGGTACCATTACAATAGAAAATAGAGATCTATCTAAAATTAACTTTTAGCATTTCCAAATATATTCGACCGGTACTGGGTTTTTATTTTAAAGAAGAAAATTGTGCTTCAAAATCCGTTTCCAAAAGAAACTTTGCTTACTTGAAATGCTTTTTGGCTAATCCTTGCAGTTCTTCAAACACTACTTTGGAAAACACTAAGATCTGCCCGCAGTTATTTAAAAAAAGTACAATTTTAGATTTGGAAACTTCAAATCCAAAGCAACCAAATGTATCTTTACTCAGTAGTAAAAATACCTACATTTTGGATAGTTTATACCTTAACGCCTTATGTGTCATAGACACACATGCGTAACATTTACGATAGTGTTTTAGTTTAATTATATGAACAATAATTAACTTTTTTGGGTTTTTACGTCGCCCCATGAGAGATCAGAATTCAGATTTTTAGCATGTTAGAAATGTCTAACAGTGCTACAACTAGGATATTAAAGACCCGGAACACGAATCCAAAAAAACCAAATCTCTCTATATAAATTTTCGCTCTTTTTTGGCGTTTAGTGTTAAACAACAATTAAAACTCACCCTTAGTCTTACTAGTTCAATCTCTCCAAGGGAAGGAGTACCATTGGACCGACACTACTTATACACCGCACCGCTTAAACTTTTCGCAACTACTGACGACGATTTGTAAATTGCGAAACGATAACAGGTAGAGGTCAACGTCGGTGCGTCCCCCTTATCTTTTACATTGCATACCAATCTTATTCAATCTCTTTAGTCACCAATACCTTAATTGAAAAGTGAACTCTTTATAAAGGGTGATCAGTAATAACGCGTTTTGAAGTCACACCACCTAATCATTATTTGTTTTTAAATTTCAATATTGTTTGCGTTTTATCCATCCGGACAGACATTTTGATTTTAAGTTTTGGGAAAAAGGGCACAAGTATAATTTCAGAAACCAAGAACTAAACATTCATGCTTTACCTACAGTGTGGACTATGAGATTAAAAATTGTGGGAAGGCGGAAGAGTAAAATGTTTCTATTGGGTCTCAAATTAAAAACCCTTTAGTTGTGCGTCGTTTACGAATGGCAATTTTTTTTAAATGTTTGTAGAGGGTGGTTCAAATTCATGGCTCACCATTGGGATTTCCGCAACGATGAGAGATACAATATAGGTTCAATGGGGGTTGTCTCTTTTTGTGACTAACGCATTTGAAATTTTTGGAAAATCTTTAAAAATATAATGATATATGTATCACCGAAAAACTGAAAATGTCAAGTTTCGTTTGGACGCTATATTGAATTTTTACGGAATAAGATAGAGGGCAAAAAAAGAAATTCATTTGAAAGCATTGTCATCATAGCCATGTTGATTTGGCAAGATCTAGTTACCCGTGGATGTTTTGTTCAGAAATGAATGTAAAACATTTGATTTTGAAATTTTTCTTGTAAATTTATGCAAAATGTAAAATGTGTGACACGTCATTATTTTCCTTTTTTGTCCTCTATCTCGAATAAATCCAATAGGGCGCCTATAACAAATAAGAAACTAGTAGCCTGTAGCTTCTTCGTCTTATGCAAATGTCGATAACAGATTCTACAACAAAAAGAACCATCTCGAAAAATTGAAGCTAGGGAACATGAAAAGGAAATTTGACATTTCCAGTTTATCGATGATAATCTCAGTTATTTTTCAAAAATTGTTCAAAAATGTCAAATGGCTTATTTTAGTAACAAAAAGAGGCAACCTACACTGTCTCTTACCGTTACGGAGAGTCACGAACACGCTGTACAGCAACTTATGGGTTCAAACCTCAAACTAAAAAAATTACTGTTTTCTTGGATTTTCCGTGGAGCTACTTTTAGAACCCCGTGAAAATACCAAATCGCGTCATATTTTAGTATAGGCATGTGGTGTGAAATTATTAGATATAAAGTTAGCTTAAAAGTTAAAGTCTCGGGACTGCATATAAGTAGGTACAGCATATGTATAACTCTCGCCAAGAAAGATTGCCGGTCACAGCACACCTTGTGTCAATTTACAATCTATGTTTTTCTTAAGATGCGAGCGACTTCCGGAATAGGATCGTGCCAATGTTGAACGAAAAGACTTTTCGTTCAACATTGGCACGATCCTATCCCGGAAGTCGCTCACATCTTTAGAAAAACGCAGATTGTAGACCGGGATCAGGTCTTCTGTGACCGGCAATCTTTCCTGGCGAGAGGTTTAGGTAGACTTTATCACAAATTGGACGATAGTAGACGAATTTACTTCATGAAACTGGTATGGCTATGAATTCATAGTCATACAACTGCATATGAAGTAGGTAAATGTTAATAATCGATTTCGCGCGAGAGAGAACATTTGAAAATTATAAAAATCGGTCTTAAGTCACCAAGATAATAGGCCAAGAAAACGACCACCACCAACGTGGAATTGCAACACGAAGGT